TATATCGAAAAAACCGTTTGAAAAAATATACCTAGTTTAGGATTCGGAAAATAAAAACAAAATATGCAAACAAGAATAAATTTTATGTTGTTGATCCAAAATTTTGCTTTAATACATTTGTTATCTGGTAATCTGTGGGTATTTTAACAGGTAATTGGTCTTTTAGTATACCTGAATATAACACCACTATAAACTGACCGTTGAATATGTATAAAGCTCATACAATGCCAGACCACGATTAACTGGTTTCGCATAGCTTGATATGCATCCGCGCGTACCTTAATATTTTTGGTTTTATTTTGATCATCCCTTCTTAAGACGCATCTAATGACATATAAAAACAAAACATGGTCCAAAATCTGGTAATGGTACATTGATTAAATAAAAAACTGAAAAAAAAAACATTTATAAATAAGGTTAGGTTTTTAAGGTTAAGTGTTAGGTTAGGTTTTCATGATTTTTGCTTTTTTGGGTGTCAAAGTAATTTCAGTTTTGTTTAGCTCAAAAACATTTTCGATAAAATGTTGCTGTAAAAATATATCATTCTGCAATAATACTAGCTTATGTTATACATGGATAAATAGTGTAATTTGCTTCCTAATCCTTCTGAAGTAGTCGAGTCAAAATAATTTAAAAACTCGCTATGAAAATAAAATAAAAAGCAATCCGAACATGACGTCACGCAAAAAATTTGGCGAATGTCATTAACATCTATCTCAATGGTGACGAGGTCTCTTATAAACAAAATCCAAATACTTAAAAGAATCATCATCAATACAATTTTAACTGCAAATTGCAGTTGGGATGCAACAGGGTACATGCCTAATTTTTATTTGAATGTCCGTCTGGTAGATTATTTTCAATCATTAGACACGTATTTTTTATTTTCTTACAGAAACGAATATTTTCAGCAATATACTGATTTGAAATGGCACGTGACGTCACTTCTTTGTACATTTTACACGTAGAAATGACGTTTTAGCCCCCATTCCTAAACTTTGATTCGTTTTATCTAATTATTGTTTTCTTATACGACAAAATAAAAAAATACGTGTCTAATATTTTTTCATTACCTAACTTACGGACCTATTATATTTTTAATTTTCATACCCTGTCATCATCCCAATTGAACTGGAAACCAAACGTGCAGTCTGATTGCAGTCTGATTGCAGTTGTATTGCAGTCATGACCAAACGATTGCAAATGAAACGAGCAGTTCAATTGCAGTTGTGCCAACGTTCAAACTGCAACCGAACTGCAATTATCAGTTCGATTCCCCTTCTGACGAAGCTATCTACATTTACATCATTAACAATTCGCAATTAAGTCCAAAATCAAATGAAGAAATTGTAGTGTTGCTATCGGAAGAAATAGTCATACACCAATTAACCTATAGACCTCTGTGTCTATAGATGTAGTATCACCCGTCGGTAGAGGGCGCCCTAAACGGACAAAATATCGACCAGATTAGCAATATATTCAAGAGGGCAAAATTAAAAGTTGCCCACTGACGAGCATGCATGAAAGTACTGATGACTCTTGGAGAAGCGAAAGAGGTATGTAAGAATCGTAGCAATTGGCGTTCCATAGTCTCTGCCTATCTGCTACCTGCATGTATATCTAAATGCATAAGTATTTTTTAAGGGGGAAAATCATCGAATGACTACTCCCGCCTGGGTGAGTCGAGAGGTAGTGTCAGACTCTTACTAACTAAAAACCACTCCGTTCCTACTCCTGCACTTCGAGCCGGAGCCCCGGCATCGGCCCTATTAGACCCCATCCGTGGTGGTTTGATGGCTCTTTGATGCGCGCGCTTAACACGACGCGCTGTACGCTCGGGTCTGGTTCTGGTCGGGCGGCTCTGGGTTGTGAGGAGGCAGAGCTTCGCTGCCTTATATGCCCCGCCTCCTCCTTAGCAAGCATGATTGCTTCGCAAAAGGAGGAGATGTCATCCCAGTCCCCCTCGCTCCGCATCATGGCCCGCACTAAGGCCAGACGCGAGAAGTCGCCGTCGCCGTCGCCGATCACTTCCCTGAGCACACGGCGGTGTTCAGCCCACGCAGGGCATCCCCCTACTGTGTGTTCCACCATGTCCTCAGGGCGGTCTTCGCAGTGATATAGGTATAGGTATTTCGATTACTGACATAGTTCTTTCTCCAATATTCTTATTATTCTTGAATACCAGTACAAATATCAGATAGCCTATTGTAACCTTTTACGTTAGGTACCAGATCGTTGAACGCAAAACGCAAGAAATAAACAAACAACACACTGACCTCAATTTTATTGTTATGACTAAAAGTTGAAAAAACATTTTGTTCGGTGAATGTACGAATGTGAAGGAAGAAACTATACAGTCATGATAAATAAACATAATAAAATATGACAAATCTATACATCTGTATATCTGTGTAAATAATATTGTAGAATCTGTTTTTAATATTAAAGTAACAGCCTTTTAGCCCATACATATGAATATAAATGTATAATACTTTACATAATAACATTATTTACTATTTTTGTCTGTCTGTCTGTCTGTTTTTCTGGCTATCTCTGAAATGGCTAGACAGATTGGGACGTTTGTCGACAGGTTGCCGATGTGCTAAGGAGTAATTTAGGCTAGTTTTGACGTGGATAAAGTCGCACGTACAGCTTGTAAATAAATATAGAAGGATTAAGAGATAGAGGTAGAAGATGACAAAGAAAAAGATGATTAAATGAAGAATAGCACTAGAGAAAAAGAAGTTTGTTATTGGATGATATCTGATAAGGGAGAACGAAAGAAGACATGAAATGTTATATTATTATAATTACTTATATAGATACTTATAGAGGTATATTTTTTTAAGGGGGGAAAATCATCGAATGACTACTCCCTCCTAGGTGAGGCGGGAGGGAGCGTCAGACTCTTACTTACTAAAAACCACCCCGTTAAATCCTTCGCGGCTCCGTAAAAATAAATATATATAAACTCACGCCTACAACTTATTACGATTCTTACTACTTCAGCTCTCGTCACAGTCATGCATAAGCAATTCTTAATAATTATAATATCTAAGAAGTTCTCATTTTTATAGTCAAAGTCAAAACATTGATTTCAGTTAAACTATAAATTGGTACTTTTGAAATATCAAGAAACAAACAAATAAATAAAAATAATAATTTGTCGTCTGCACACCTACACCAGAGGAGTCACAGGTCCGTAGCCCGCCATTTTAAAAGGAATACGCTCTTAACTTTTTGAGTACCGTCATTAGAGACACAATTAACTCGTCGAGTACCGTCATTATAGACACAATTATAGACCAATAGGTTGCGGTCACCGGTGTCCTTGCGGTGACAGTTGTAATTTTTTTTTATTAAACTTTGCCCCACATTAGGATTTTCTCCTGTGGGTGCGTTTACAAACATACAAGTTCACATACACATCACACCCAGATCCGAAACAACAATTTGTGGATCACACAAAGTGTTGTTCCGTACGGAAATCGAAACCGCGACACGGTGCACGGCAGCCGGTTGCCCAGCCACCGCACTAACCGTGCAGTAAAAATATATACCTAACATGTCTGTGTGAGTAACATAGTTTTGTGATTAGATCATAAAAACATGTCAGATGCTGTCGTTACAGCGATAATCATTTGTTATAGTAATTAATGTGTTCTGCATCTTCGATATGTACCAACTAATGAGACCGATGACAAAGTAAATTCCCATTAGTTTAAAAATACTTCAATGAAAGTAGGTATTTTAAGAATACCCTCACACAAGCCATGATTATTTGTTAACATAACATCACGCCTTATATCCCCAAAGGGGTAGGCAGAGGTGCACATTATGCCACTACAATGTAACACCCACTTTCACTATTTATGTTATGAGTCCCATGTAATAGGGGGTGAGCCTATTGATTATTTGTTATTAGGTACCTATGTTGTATTTTTTAAGTAAATATATAGTTTATTTATTGACATTTCTATAGATAGTATAATCTACCAGTAGCTATAGGTTTTGGAGGTTGGTCCAATATTTTGATTAGTTAATATTCAAATTAATTCTTCGACAACAAAATTTATTATTATTTTACTCCGATATTATAATTAGGTCCTTATAATAAAATGTATGAGCATATAATACAATTGTTTTAATTAGAATTGTACAGAAAATGAGAACGCTATAATTATTTCTTTACTTATTTTTTTCTGTAGTCGCTTGCAACGTCATTTTTTTAATTAATTAATTATGTAATTTGTACACTTAATGCAAAAATTTTACGAACATTTATTAGTGTAAAAAATAAAAATAATGTAATTGTAATAACAAGAATTACATTATTAAACGTAATACAAATATTAAAAATGCTTTTGTTAGTACGTTATGAACTCCGCGCATAGGTATAGGTAATCGGAAATCTTGGAAAAATAACTTTATTGTTTGGTAAGTAGCACTATTTTTATTATGTTCTGTAATTTCAATTTATGTAATATTTGTTATTTTATCGTGTTTCACATTTATCCCACGTAGTGCTTGAAGTCATTTTGACAATATGGTAGTTGACAGGTAGTCAAATTCAATACTTTTATTGAAATGTCATAAATGATAATTTTCTATGAATTTTGTATTGGATCGGAACTTATGACGTCATAATATTTCTGCGTCAAATAGCATACTTATTTCTTTAAAATTAGCGAGAAAATTTCCAAAAGTTAGTAAATTGTCAAATCAATGGATGAGAGTATGATTCTTTTTTAATTATTAATTGCATTGGAAAGTTGAAACAATTTATTTTAAACCTGGAAAACTAGTAAATTGTGCATATTTATAAATTTAATACAATTATAATAATAAACAAATTAATAACTTTTAACGTGAAATATTTACGTATGCTAGGTGCCTACATGTGCAATAGTTAATGAATACCTAATTACAAAATTGAAATTAATAATGTTTATAAAGTTTAAAATTACACACAATACATAATAATATATTATTGTACTTACAAAAATCTTTTTTGACAAAATGCTGTTGCTTTTTCACCCATTCTTCTAAAAGATTGACGGCGTCATCCATTCTCTCATTTTTATCCAGGTTTAACTCCATTCTCACGTGTTCCAGTGTGTCGGGATGGAAATCCAGAAGTCTGTCTTTTAGCACTGTTACCATTTTGTCCAGTCACTTGAACGGCTACTGACTATAAACTGAATGAGATTGGTTTAACACAAGTTTTATCTAACTACTATATTTATCGTACTATGTTTAAAACTCGTTTTGAGACACACGACCTACGTTTATCAATATGGCTGATTATTGTGTGAATTAATGTGGACGTTACGGCTTTTTTTCCCCGAAGGGACCCGTTGAGGTGCATATTTTCAAGGAATCACCGTTTTTAACGGACTTCAAAAAAAGGAGGAGGTTCTCAATTCGACCGTATATATTATTATGCTTTTTTTATGTTTGTTCGCCGACATCTCCGTTATTTATGAACCGAATTCAAATTCAAATTCAAATTCAAATTCAATTGTTGGATAGGAGATAGTCCCAGAATGGTCCCATGGCAAGGAAATCAGGATCTGATGATGGAAGACCAGGGAAACCGAGGGGAACTTTTAAAAATTATAATTTTTATAGTTTAGTTTTATAGGGGCGACTAGTGCATTTGTTATTTTTTCATTAAATATTAATAACCACTACCATCTGATAAAGTTCTGGAGTCGATCTGATGATGGAGCCGAGAGCCAATCGAGGGAACTCCTCAACGGTTAACAGTAACTACCTTGTGTTTGGGTTTAATTCATTTGTATTGATGAGAACTTTACACCTAAGTGGGGTGTAATTGTCAATAAGGGTCTGATGATGAAGTAGTACGATAGTTGAGGGAACTCCTCAACGATTACCAGTAGCTATGTTGTGTTTGGGTATGATCATTTGTATTGATGAGGACTTTACACCTAGATGAAAAAAAACAGACTCTTTTTGTCATTTTCAAAATCAAAAGTCTTAATGAGGTCAAAAGACAAGTGTTACCAATGTCACTAGTATACCTTGATTAACAAATTTTAGATTTTTAGGTACTTACGACTTAGGCTATCGACACCTGTTTTTCTTGTTTCGTTTTTTGTAATGGTAAATATTGTATAGGTCTTAAATCATAAAAATAATGCGTCATGATTCGTTTCTAGAACAATTTTGTTATTTTATTATGCACCAAAAGGGTTGATGAACTTGAAGATAATTATTGGAGCCTTGTTTTTGTCAAGTCAAGTTTTTCGGCTTACGGCTTACGGCTTCGTCCGTTCAAATTTTCGAAGACTTCTCTCGAATAATTCTCGATTATACGTTTATATTATACGTTTTGTAAATAAAATATAATTGTTGTAAAAATAAAATTATTATGTTCAGAATTAATATTAATTATTTATATTCATTTTAAATTATTTCTAATTAATATAAAATGAAGATCATATTTTGACATTAGTTCTATATTACCTATAATATAATAAAATACCTTGTGATCAGTAAACTGACACAGTAGGTACTTTCATATAATAATCACTTTAAAAAGTTTATACGAAGGTAACCTATGCCCCTTAAAAGTAAAGTTTTAATGGAAAAAGAAACAAGTTTATAATGTTATTCATACAATCCTACAAGGTTGTCATTTCTCCAATAACTTAGTATATCATTAAACAACAAGTTGATTTTTCTTTAGAATTGATAAAATCCAGTATTCTAAACACATAGGTAGTATTACCTAGCTAAACAGGATATAAAATGCAAAACATAAATGTCAAAACATCTTGAGAAATTACCACAATATTTTAAAATCATGTCATCAAACCAGGGGCTAAAAACATCATATGTGTGGGAGAGCCATGCTTCGGCACGAATGGGCCGGCTCGACCGGAGTGATGCCACGGCCTCACAGAAAACCGACGTGAAGCAACGCTTGCGTTGTGTTTCGTCGTGTGAGTGAGGTTACCGGAGGCCCAATTACCTTCCCCTTAACCAATCTCCCCAATCCCTGAATCCCCAACGATCCTCAAACTCCTAATCCCCAAAAAGCCGATGACGCACTTGTAACGCCTCTGGTGTTCCAGGTGTCTATGGGCGACGCCGATTGCTTACCATCAGGTGATCCGTCTGCTCGTTTACCGGCTTATGCCATAAAAAAATATATATAAATAAGTTTATGCATTTATGCGTAATCATGTTGCATATTATCATATATTTTTGTCTACTTTATCAGAGACTGTGTATTAAAATATTTAACATTTTCTCAAGAATTCTTCTATTGACCGTGAGTTTATTGTGAACTTATAAATTATTTCACAATAAACTATGAAAAGAATTGGCCGTAGAAAGCTTTAAGAAGATTCGAGTAGAAGGAGGATAGGGAGGCCTTTGCCCTGCAGTGGGACGACCTAGGTCACCGGTGACCTCCGTTAGCGGAGGATTTGCCTTCAGCAGTTTTCTGTCGGCAGTCATAGCTTTAAAAATCCTTACTAATATTATAAATCGGAAATTAAACTGACATGGCAGTTAGCCAGTCACATTTGTCGAAAAACCGATGAGTGTTGGGGTAGATGTGTTCTGGAGTGGAGACCGCGTCTAAGCAAACGTAGTGTAGGGCGCCCTTCAGCTAGGAGTGACGACATATGTAAAGTGGCTGGTAGTGGTTGGATGCGTATAGCTGAAGATCGAGCTCAGTGACGTGCTCTTGGGATAGAATAGAATAGAATAAACGTTTATTTCTCTAGTTAAATAAATATACTATTACATCATCACTTAAAAATAGAATTTTTACAAGTGCATTTGGTATGTATTTTTGGTACATTTTGTCCGGGGAGGGATCTTTTGTAGCCTATTGCCGAATTCTTTTCACACAATTTTATACATAACAATTATGAGAAGTACTGGGTTTAACCTATTATTACCGCCCATTTGGTCCTCGACCAGGGGTTACTTAGTATTTGAGACGTGCTCTTGCAGAAGCATATGTCCATCAGCGGACGAGATCAGGCTATCGATGATGAATTAGTGGTAAACTATACCAATGTAGGTATGTACCAACTATTACCACCAGGCGAGATAATGAACAAACGTCGGCCCATCAAATATAAAAAAAAACTATGTAAAAATTACCTGGAGCTGCGGATAACCTAACGGGTAACCAGGATTCCAGCTCAAAACAGGAGTAGGAACGGGGTGGGTTTTAATCAGTAAGAGTCTGACACTCGCTCTCGCGTCACTCAAGCAGGAGAAGTTATTGGATGATTTTCTCCCTCAAAAAAGTCATATAAAAACTACAGATTTTGAAAAAAAACTGGGCATCACATCAACAGCCTATAATGTCCACTGCTGAGCAAAGCCTCTTCTTACACGGAGAAGGTTTGAGCATTAATCACCACGCTTGCTCAATTCCGGTTTGTGATATCAAACTTATAATTAGAAATCATAAGCCTAGGTTTCCTCACGATGGTTTCTTTCACCGTTAGTCAGTGGTGTCTACATAATCCTAGAAAGTATATATAACTTGAAAAAGTCACATTGATACTTGCTGTTGGTAGGCTTCGAACCCGCACTCTCATGCATGAGAAGCGTCTTAAACCTCCGGGCCACCACGACATACATGAATCTTTTGATGAGGGATTTGCAACTCGCTTCCCAAGCGACTATGGCATAAAATTGTATGTAGAGGTTTATGGATTGTCAATCTGTGATGATGAACTACGTAAGAGAGAAATCCGAATACCTATGTTGTCGCGGACAACTTAATGGGTTACCGGGGCTCCGGCTCGAAGTGTAGGAGTAGGAACGGGGTGGTTTTTAGTCTGACACTCCCTCTTGCCTCACCCAAGAGGAAGAAGTCATTCGATGATTTTCCCCGCTTAAAAAAAAACCTATGTTATTAATAGATATCAACATGACCATACACAAGTAGCTACTTACAGTCAACACAATTACTTTGTGGGCAGTTAAGAAAATAAAGATTAACTTAGTATAAAGATAATAGGAATGAACATAACATCACGCCTGTTTACCCGAAGGGGAAGGCAGAGGTGCGTGTTACGGCACTTAAGGCCACTGTACCATGTAACACCCACTTTTCACTATTTTTTATGCCATGAGTCCCATGTAATAGGGTGTGAGCCTATTGCCATATACCGCCACAATTATTCTAGACCCCATGCTACCACTGAGAATTTTTTGAAACTCAGTTATACTTTGCCCCACCTGGGAATCGAACCCGAGACTCTATGGTCGGCCAGTCGCAGCGCACTTGCGACCACTCGGCCAACAAGGCAGTCAACAATAAATAAAATAGAGGACAAAAAAATACGATTAAATATTTAGTTGCACTATGCCGTGAAATGGCGTCTTCTCTAGCTATGATAAACACACATCGAGAATTAATAGGCGCCACAATTATTGCATAATTGGATAAATTACCCACTGCAACTAATTACGAAGTGTACTGTGAGAATTTTATAATCGCCGTTTGCTTGGGACAATTAAAATTATGTACATACGTAACTGAACAGGAAAATGAAAACTGAAAATATGAAAAAAAAAATCATTATATTCATTGACTTTTTTTGTCTAGATTCTAGATGTTTTATATGCAACAAAACAAATAATACACAAAACAAAGTAACAGCGGTCTATGGGCTCGTACACAAAACTGCGTACGCAACGCAAAAAATGACGATGCGAATTGCTGCGATGTGATTTCGTGCGATAAGGCGTGTCTCAGGGTGACCATTCGTAGTTATATACATACCTTATATATATACTGATTTATGTACTCATTTTGTATTTATTGTAATTTTTTTATACAGTACCTATGTATTATTACTATTACATATTTTTTTTTGTTTTTTTTTTTGCATATTACACAAGCCTATTTCCGCTGATTTTATATTTAACCCAAAGGTTGACTGGGAGAAAATGCCATATGGTATTAAGTCCGCCTTATGTACTTTATTTTGAGTGCATTAAAGAGTTAAACAAACAAACCAATCCTTCGACGAGAAAATGGTCACCCTGAGACGCGCCTTGAGATTCATAAGTTATATACCATACTGCTGCATACTGCATGGTCTCAGGACTCGTACACAAAACTGCGATACGACGATACGACGTCGCATCGCAAGAACTTGCGAATTGATTCGCATCGCGTATCAAAATCTTATCATACCAAAATTTCCTTTGTTTCTTTTACCTGTATCTTCTAAGTAATAACTAATAACAGAAGTGCAGTCTTCTTTTTACGATCCATGTTACGACCTAGATTTCAATTTAAAATACGTTTAGTACGGTTGACGAATTGCATCGCAGCAATTGGCATCGTAATTTTTTGCGTTGCGAATTCGCATCACATCGCATCGCAGTGTTGTGTATGATCCCTCATATATTAGTATTTGTGATCTCATTGTGATCTCGAGTTCAATTCTCGAGCAAGGTATTTAGTACTTGCAACATGGTTCACGCAATTGTACCCGGTGCAAGGCCAAGACCCGGCAGTCGCACTTGCGACCACTCGACCAACGACGCAGTGCATTTTATTTAGATATATATTTGTAGACACTATTCGCATCGCACGTGCCACCCGACGAGAAATATCTCTTCGAAGAATTATATGGCGTGATGTTTTAATAATGTTTGGTACTATGAGTTCGTTTGCACTTTCCACTTGCTTTTTGCAATGGTTCACCACTTATTTTTTGTTTTAAATGCTTTGTAAAACTATTGTATTACTGAGACATAACCATTTTACTTAGGGACGAAAACGAAATAGATTTCACAGTGTTTTACAAATCATCGACACACGTGCAAAGACGCAAGCAAAACCTAGTATAATAAAAAGATTATCTTAGTATGTAACGTATAATTAAACTCAAATCAAGCAAAAGGTCGATCAGAGTTCTTAGGTACTTCATATTTATTAGATATGGGCAACATGATAAATGAATCGATTGTAGACATGACATACACGTGATTTCTATGTTATTATTATACATATGTATATGTATGTATGTATGTATAATTATATATAATTATGTTGATTATATTGACCCTAGCTACTTCCGCGCGGTTTCACTCGCTCTGCTCGACGCCTATTAATCGTAGCCTATATTATAGCCTGATATATTATAGCCTTCTTCGATAAATGGGCAACCCAAAAAGAAATCTTCAAATCGGACCAGTAGTTTCGGAGATTAAGGCGTTCAAACAAGCAAACAAAAAAACAAACTCTTCAGCTTTATAATATTAGTATAGATTCTCGTTGGGCGATTGGTCGCAAGTGCGACTGCCAGTCAAGGGGTTTCGGGTTTGATTCCAGGGTCGGGTTAAGTACTATTGGGTTTTTAAAAAAATCGCTCGCAGTCTGAAATTATGCCCGGTATATGGCAATAGGCTCATCCCCTATGACATGCCTTTTATCCATGAAGGAGTAGGTAGAGATGCACATTACGGTACTTAATACCACAGTACAATGTTACCACAACACCCACTTTACACTATTTATGTACGTGTGAGTCTATTGCCATATACCGTGCGACTACTGAGAATTATTTGTAAAAATCCAGTAATACTTTGGCCGAGAATCGAACCCGATACCTCTTGCCCGCGACTACTCGGCCAACGAGGCCTGTTGATGTCGAATAATTAATTAGATTTACATTTTAAAAGATTTAATTAACTAAAAATCGCAGGTTACTCACGTGAGTATACTGAGGAAACATCTACTAGTTTCAAACCACTGAGGGCTTCTTCCCCATGAGCAACGTTCGAAGTGTATATAGATCAAATAAATCAAAGAAAAAAAAACAAATGACATTCTGCAAATAGGTTTTATTTGGCACTTAAATAATGTTTCACCTCCTCCAAATTTTACAATGTCTAAACTATTAATTTAAATTCTTACTTATTCTAATTTTACTATAATACAAACCAATTCCATAACAGAAATATTTTGATTAATTTATGGCGTGTGTATAGACCAGAACCCCTGATACAGGTTACTTATTAAATAAATACTTAGGTTAAGAGAATAAAGCTGTAGACAGGGCTAGCTGTAATTATTGAATTAGGAAACAAGATTGATATAATCTATAACGTAATATATTTTTATAGAATAGGAGGCAAACGAGCAGACGAATCACCTGATTGTAAGCGATCAGCGCCGCCCATAGACACCCGCAATACCAGAGGAGTCACAGGTGCGTTGCTAGCCTTTTAAAAAGGAATACGCTCTTTTCTTTAATGTTTGATGGTCGTATCAACAATATCGTATCGGACAAAAAATATTCTCAATACGTCTTGCACCTTATCAGTTTAAAAACAAAAGAAGATATCTTGTTCTGAGGTTTGAAGGCGATCATACGACTCCACTATCAACAAAGCATGTAAAAATGGATTAATACCATATTCGCATTGATTTATATCATTGTTTTGTTCACCTTATTACTTGACTTATTTGAGAATTCCACTTTTAAATACAATTAATAATGTATTACAATGAATTTATTGAGAAATGTAACTTAAAAATATGAAGAATTCTTGTCTAATTTAGGTGAAAACAAAATGACAATCTTTTTATTCTGATTCAGATTAGACCCAATAGATTTCATTAAAACCTTCAGAGCCGACTTCAATATAAATATTTATATACAAAATATAACAGCTCATTAAACACAGAATATCAACATCACTAAACGTCTATTATACCAAGAAGGTACTGTTACACAAGCTAAATTCAAGGACGAAAGCAGGAAAGCATGCTTCAATAGGGATGATGACAGGGTATGAAAATTAAAAATGTATTTAGTCCGTCGCACAGTGTGGTATTTGAACGATCTGGGAGGCAATAAGTCCATTTTACAAAACTTAATGAGGTAGAAGTATAAAGTATCTCGTAAATGTTTACTTACCAATGCACCTCAAACTGTCATTATTTTCATCTTATTTGCAAAAATTTACTTGTGTGGTCAGTCGGAATTTCGTTGTCATCTAAGATATATTTTTCTTGTGTTTTATTTAAAAAAATCGTTTACTTATATAGTCAATTATTTTGTTTTGGATTATAATTTCAAGTGAAGTGATATGTATTATTTTATGGCAGGTTAGTGTCTACACTTAACAAATATTTTTAACAGGGTCGATTACTTTGTGACTGTTGGACAATATTATTTATGTAACCCTTTTACAATATCATAATTTGCATATATTTTGAAATATCGAGGATAGTAAGTAATACTTCCCGGGGTTTCCCGGCAAAATAAAAGAATGTACAACAAACTTTGATAATTGACGTATAAGATTTCGTTTAAAACGGTCACGGAATCACTTGATTTTTGGAAAACAGGGTGTCCAAACTTTTTAATGTGAAAATGTTATTTATTTCATACATATTATTTTTTATTTATTGTAGGGCCGTCCAATGTCAAAATCATGACTCGATTGGAGTTATATGAGTTGATGCAGCGACAAAATTTGCCGAATATCAATGAAAAATTGGATTTCATCGAAAATTATCTCATTGGTTATGATGATTACACTGCTGACCAAATTAAGGATATTAAGCAAAATTTCTCACGCTTCAAGTCCGAAATGAAATCTAGATGGGCTGCGGCATATAATAAAGAGCAAATTTTCATTAAAAGGAATCAAGATTGGTTGAGAGGTACATTTACGATTCCAAAAGTAACTAGCCGGCCGGGGCGTCCGAAAAAATTATTCGAAGAATCAGGTGAAAGAAGCAAAAGGCAAAAAACTGAGGTGAGGCAAAAAACTAAAGTGATTTTAGAAACAATATCAAGTGGGCATAAAATCAATTTGGAGAAATTTGATAGCTACACAAAGAAAACAGCAGAACTGTATGTGCAGCTTTATTCATGGTGTCCTATGACCCCATAAATTATTGATCCATGGTCCTGATGTAATTAAGCGCGCTTTACTTCCAATCGGGCAACTGTCAGAAGAGGCTGCGGAGGCACGCAATAGACACTTTCGTTTATTTCGTCAAAACTTTTCGAGAAAATTCTCAAGGATGTCTTGCAATCAAGATGTGCTCAACAGGTTACTGCTGACTTCCGATCCTGTAATAACAGGAATGAGGAATATTTCAAGAAAGAAGAGTAAACCATTCTTAAAAGAAACCCTAGAGATGTTGCTTCCGATGGAATCTTATGCAGAATCTCACGGTGGTAATGAGGCATCAGAGTCGAATAGTGAGGGAACTGCTGATGATTCTGAGTTGTGTCAAGAAGATAACTCATTTTCTGACTGATCTGTGTCAAAACATTTAAGGAAAATGCAATTATTTCTGTTTAAAATATTTTTGTAGATTAAATATTGAGAATTTTTTAATTGTAATTAAATATTTTAATTTTTTTTCAAAAATATTACGTTTTTCATTATTATTTACTTTGTAATAAAAAACAATACTACATGCTAACATAATATCATAGTTACAACCTCTTTAGCCGCCAAAATAATTTTTGCCTCCCAGATCGTTCAAATACCACACTGTGCGTCGCTTAGGTAACGAAAAAATATTAGACACGTATTTTTTTATTTTGTCGTATTTGAAAACAATACTTGAATGAAACGAATCAAAGTTTAGGGCTAAAACGTCATTTCTACGTATAAAATATACATAGAAGTGACGTCACGCGACATTTCAAATCAATATATCGTCGAAAGTATCTGTGTCCGTAAGAAAATAAAAAATACGTGTCTAATGATTTTAAATAATCTACCAGACGGACATTAAAATAAAAATTAGTCATCTATCGTATTGAGCACTTGTCCCTTTAACATTAGCGCATCGGAATGTTGCTCAAAATAGCATGCTAATTTCTGACATGCTCGTGAATCGATAGGCGTTCGATTTTTGAACATGCTCAATAGAACGCCTTTTGTAATCCCAATGTAATAAAAGCATTTTTAACAGTAAATTTAATATAGATAATTTAAAATAATTAATCTACACTCAATGCTCTGAAAGACCCGGGCATTCCAACGTAGTTCTCAGTGAACTTGCTCGATTGTCTGCACGATTCGATGGTGTTAGCTTTGTTCATGATGCTCATGTACTCCAGAAACTCTTTGGAGTTAATCACTTCCACCCATTCTTCTGTAATATAAAAAAAAAATGGTTTTAGATATAATATTTTAGGATTGTGCCGTGGCAGGCGTTGCACAAGGCGGACTCTGAAGCTGGTCTTTTCAAAGGATTTGGTGCACCCTATACAGATGATGATGTTGACGACCGCAGTAGAACTACTGCGGTCCCATACACCATGGCTTTCTTTCCAAAAGCCAGGCGTTTTGCTTTGATGTAATATTTTGCATCTCGTTGGAGACGTGGAAGTCTCATTAAAGAAAAGCTACAAAAATAACGGTTATGGTCTGTCGATTAAAAAATTCTGGTCTATAAATTCTCAGTCATTAACTCATTACTTATCAATTCTTATCTGTTATTAACTAATAGTAGAAGAGTAGATAATTCAATAAGATTAATTATAGAAAAGGTGATTACAGTAATTATACACTTTTGGGATTGTCTCATTAAGATTGGACACATGAAAGTGTATTGCTATTACTTTACCAAAGGCGCATTCTCTTCTATATTTCTCAAGGCGCGTTAATTCTATATGTCTCATGATTTCACTAGCACTAGTCTCACAAGACTTCAGTAGACTTTTGATATAGAGGATGAATGTGTATTATCCGACAGACGACACCATCATGAGGAGCCAATAGATGCAGAGCCAATGGATGGTTGTCTTTCGGTTTGGACGACTAACGAGAAGGTCTTTGTTTAGTGGTAGACGTTTATCAGTCCTTTATAACTATGATCGTGACAACATAACATAACATCACGCCTTTTATCCCCGAAGGGGTAGGCAGAGGTGCGCATTATACCACTGTACAATGTAACACCCATTTTTCACTATTTGTGTTATGAGTCCCATGTAATAGGGGGTGAGCCTATTGCCATATACCGGGCACAATTCCAGACTCCGTGCTACTACTGAGATTTTTTTTAAAACCCAGTAATACTTTGCCCGACCCGGGAATCGAACCGAGACCCCTTGCCCTGCAGTCGCACTTGTGACCACTCGGCTAACGAGGCAGTCAGTCAGTCAATCAGTGATCGGAACAATTATTTGGAAAAAAGATTTCCAAAATACTTACTATTTAATTCCAAAACAGATTTCTCCTTGCCACCATAGTCTGATGGCATAATTTCTTTAGGAACAAAGTCACTCAGCGTGTCAGGAGTCTTATGCAAATGTATTCTATCACCAAGTTTAGCACTGAAAACTTGCTTCAGCATGGATATTAAGGTATCCACCATTTTGGAGGACGAGATCACGTGGATACCCTTTATCCGACAGCCGTAGCCTTCCTGGAAATTTTGAAATGCATATTAAACCATAGTTTTACACACGTAGAACAAAGTTTTAAGACAAAAGGAGTATTCGTCTGTGACAAACGATGAGACATATTTTCTCATTCCATGCTCGGTACAAACTGTGCATAGGAAAAGAATGTCCTTCAACGTGCGACATAAGATACTGTCTATTCTTGCGGAGGGAAAAACTGAAGACAGTGTATTTTAAGTACAGGACTTTTTATTAAATTACTGCTTCAATAGTGAAATTGTAATAAAGGATGAAGGATTTTTTATGGTACAAACCCGCCACAACCTCCCAAAACCGCTGGAACTCCTGTTAGCCAGATCTACAGTACATACAACCATGAAAACACCGGAACACTGAAGTCCGGCGCGTCCCAGGGACATAAACAAGTGTCTTCGTTCCCGCAACAAAGTGAATCAGAAGATATTATAATATGAAGATATTATATAGATATTTATGGTTGAGACATACCCAACATTTGCATGCCCAACGGGTAGAACAAAGAGATACAATATGTAACAAAAATAAATAATACCTTAGTCACTAATTATGTACTACACCTCTGTTCAGCAAATAAAGACATTTGATTTGATTTTGATTATAAGAGGAGAAAAAAAACGATAGTTTTCACTTCCCTCGGTGAATTACTGAAGGAGACATAATGAATTAAGCCTAAAGGCACAAAAAAGAGACTGTACAACTTGGTGAAGCCCAGTCGCCAAGCTTTACAAGCAAGGATCGAGGATACTTACAGTCATTAAAGTAATAATTTGTCTCAGCTCCATAGGATTGATCTTGGTCACAAAGCTAAGAATGTTTATCTGGGAATAATCCAAAATAATTTGGAAACCGGAGCAGTATTCGGCTTGCATCATGTATTCACTAAGCTGGAAAAGAAATAACATCACATTTTGAGTCCATAAGCATCAAATAAACGATTGTAGGATTTTATCTCATCAATAACCTATAAATGCCCATTGCTGAGCAAAGGCCTCATCTCACACGGAGAAGGTTAAGCATTAATTACCACGCTTGCTCAATGTGGGTTGGTATTTTCAAACTTATAATTGTAGGTAAATTATAAGCCCAGGTTTCCTCACGATGTTTTCCTTCACCGTTTGTCAGTGTTGTCTAAATATTCTTAGGAAGTACATATAACTCGGAAAAAGTCTCATTGGTATTTGCCGTTGGTAGGTTTCGAACCCTCACTCTCACTCATGCATGAGAAGCAGGCGTCTTAAACTTCCGAGCCACCACGACATGTTATTTGTCTCTATTAAAAAAAATAATAAATTCGGCACCCCTGTACAAGAGGTTTTCTTAAAAATGGCTTGGAAGTCCAATCACCTATGGCATGAAAATTGATTATATGGTCAATGCCATAATAATGTCGTACTATGTCATAGATAAAAAAAACGTACCGCAGTCAAGTACTTATAGTAACTGAAGACGTATGAAGACTCCAGGTTTTCAGAGACAATCTTGGCGATGTAGACCCTGTGATGCTGAGGAGTCATTTCTGGGAGATGTGCTGTGTGTCTAGAATTATAAAGAAGAAAATAGTCAACTAAGTATCATAGTACAGCCTCGTTGGCCGATTGGTCGCAAGTGCGACTGCCGGGCAAGTGGTCTCGGGTTCGATTCTCGGGTCGGGCAATGTATTACTGAGTTGTTAAAAAATTCTCAGTAGTAGCACGGAGTCTGGAATTGTGCCCAATATATGGTAATAGGCTCACCCCCTATTACATGGGACTCATAACAAAAGTAATGAAAAGTGGGTGTTACATTGTACAGTGGTATAATATGTAAGTACCTCTGCCTACCCCTTCGGGGATAAAAGGCGTGATGTTATGTTATGTTACGTTTTAAAGTTGGTTAATATATTAATTACCTATATAACTTTCTCCTAAGTCTAACAAACACTTTTCTGAACATTGCTTCAAAGTCAGTTCATCCAATCACGAGATAATCGCGCACCAATACTTTAGCATCACGCCACTGCCGGTGCCCGATCCGGGAATCGAAAAAAATCGAATCAAAACAAGAGGGGATTGAAGTGGGTTTTCTTTAAACGTAGTTTAAAAAGGAATTATTTAATTTTCTTTATAAAAATCGTATTGTGTTTTATAAATACTTACATAATTTGATGTATGGGTTCCAGTTCTTTCTTGACATCGATCGGGCTGAAGAATTCTGGCATCAGTGTCTTGAAGGTGCATAGTTTGTCCAACTTTTCTTTCGCTCTCTCCACTAAACCTTTTGACGTAACTATGAATCTTTCTAGGTATTCTCGAGCTGTAACCAATAAAATAAAATTTATGAAATAACCTAATATGAGTTGTAAGTTCTTTTTTATGGCTTAAACCGATAAACGATCATACGGATAACCTGATGGTAAGCAATCGGCGTCGCCCATTGACACCTGGAACACCAGAGGCGTTACAAGTGCGTTACCGGCATTTTGGGGATTAGGAGTTTGAGGATCGTTGGGGATTCAGGGATTGGGGAGATTGGGGAAGGGGAGGGTAATTGGGTATCCGGTAACCTCACTCACAAGACGAAACATAATTTTTGTTAATAGTTAATTGTTTCACGTCGATTACATTTGCTTTAAATTGAAACTGTAACTAGAGTTAAAAAACCATGAATGTTTGCAATTTAACTCGTCGAGTACCGTCATTATAGACACAATTATAGAACAATAGGTTGCGGTCACCGGTGACCGCTTGGTGTTTGACAGTTTAAATAATTAGAAGGTCTTTACTACGTCACACCATTTTGGAAGGTTAAGCTATTAACTTGAGCCAATAACCATGTGTGAAGTAACAAAAAAAAATATGTGGAAGCATAAATTGTTTGAGAACACCTTTGAACATTGTATATTATGCTGTATTTAATTACCAGTGCAATTATATTGTTTACTTATATTGTTTTTTAAGGCCCAGAAGTTATTAAATATAATTAAATATTTAACGCCTATAATAATTATTATTTATAATTAATTGATGTTGTAGTCAAAATAAATTGTACGGATTTGTACGGTCTTTCCACATATATAAAAATGTTATTTTATCTCGGTTTCCAGATTTTGTGTACGTATATTATTATTATTACTGTTATTTCATTTTAATTCTAAGTTGTATTGTATTTTGTTTCGTGTATTTTGTGTGTCCAACTATATCTAATGTTTTGTAATTTTACTGCCTCGTTGGCCGAGTGGTCGCAAGTGCGACTGCCGGGTAAGG